ACAGTACCAGGGTTCTGCACTATGCTCAGTTTCGCCTAGTCTAGTCTTACCAACCATTTCGCCCCATATACCGACTGTATCGCGTTCTACCGATTGTACGTGTACTTAACGGTATGACCAATCCTCGTACACGTGTCGTACAGTACGTACGGAACCTGTAAAGCAGAGAGGGCAGGCGTAAAATGGGTCGGTTGGTTTCGAATTGCGCCCCAGCCGCTCCATACAGTACCAACTTGGTACTGTATGGAGCGGCTGGGGCGCAATTCGAAACCAACCGACCCATTTTACGCCTGCCCTCTCTGCTTTACAGGTTCCGTACGTACTGTACGACACGTGTACGAGGATTGGTCATACCGTTAAGTACACGTACAATCGGTAGAACGCGATACAGTCGGTATATGGGGCGAAATGGTTGGTAAGACTAGACTAGGCGAAACTGAGCATAGTGCAGAACCCTGGTACTGTATGTGCATATACTGTACCGTTAACGGTTCTGCATGAAAGTCAATGGTACGATGCGGTGTTGCAGAGCGGATATGGTACCCTTGTATATCTTCCCCAGTTTGATGATCTGTGGATCTGCAGTGTACACAAAGCTATGGTCAGGGAGGTGTGGCGGCAGTTATACTGTACTGAAGTGTAAATCTGGACAATCCCGTTGCAATCCCGTTGCAATATAAAACCAAAAAAGGCCTTGGCTTTGGATCAAAAGTTGACACAGTTGGGAGCGGAAGTTCGTTTGCAATCCGTGACGAGAGTCGATCGCAATACGATGCCGTACCCTTCGAAGGGTACCCTGGGAACAGCACAGTACCCTTACTTCACACTGGACACTACTGTAGCGCAGGCGTCATGCAGCGGCGCAGCGAGACTAACAGGACGTGGATTTGGCTCCCATTCTGTACGTATGTTGATATTTACAGATGAGGATGGATTTGAACGCCGTGGACGTGTAGCATGCTGCAGCACTGAATGTAGGCAACAAGGGTAGGACTGAATAAGAGTCAGCAGCAGCAATGGAGTCTGTTGACAGACTTGACATCAACTGGGATAGACGAAAATGGAAGAGGGTTTTTGTTGGCAGTGAACGTCGTGAATGAAAGAGGTAGAACGGAAGGGAATTCTGAACGGCGCGGAGTATGTTTTGCGAGGGATGGGCTGGGCTAAACAGACGAAAAGCTGGAGAGGCGTGGTGGCATTCGGGGAACGGCGCACTCGAGATGATCAGAAGCCGATTTTGGTTGATGTTACGTACTATAAATCCTGTGTGACATCCGCTCTTTGGCTACTGTAAACTTTGGTGTAGAGTTCATTACTGTGCATTACAAAGCATGTGCAATTGGGCACGTGTGGACCGCCGCAGAAGGTTGTGGACCGCGTCGACTGGTCCGCGAGTGCCCATTTGATCGAGTCCATACCGGGGCACGCTCAGGCAGTTGGCGCCGGTTAGTCGGCCAATAGTCTTTCTGACACCGACTACACGTGAACAATTGTCATCCTGCCGCGTGCTCTTGCCGGTGGGGCGCGTGATGACCTCACGTAGCAAGCCCGCAGTGGCGCGATCACAAGCACGCCAACGTCCGATTCCGTCAGGGAGCCAGGGACAGGTCGCGGTGCCAACGGAAGACAACGGTGCGCTCCAGAGCAAAGGCATTGTGCCAAGTGGGGGCACACGCTTTCCGCGGACCCCCTTGGGCTGTTTTCGTGTCGCAGCAAAGCTGCATGCCAAATTGGTCGCTTGCCCCGAGCGATTTGCACGCTGCCACTACGGGTAGATGGCGTAAGGGAGGACGTTCGGATGCCGGACGTGCCACTATGTCAATGGGCCTTTGCAATTTTTCATTACAGTATATTTGGTGCGTGAGGACGAGAAAACAATAATTCATCAACAGAGCGACATTATGTACAAGGGGCATTTGTTTGAGGTCTTTGCAAGCGGTGGTTGAGTAGAGTTTTTGCGGAATTAGAATCAGGAATGGCAGGCGGTTTCGAGACATCGAGTGGGCAGCCTGTTTCTGCAGCGAGACGTCCCAGGCTCTGCCGACGGCGGTGCGTCCAGTCAGGCGGATACACGTCGATGTAGAGTTGTCGGTGACGTGCAAAGCGTGGCCTTGCCCTTTGGCAGCCGCAGTGGTGTCGTGGTTAGAGGATTGAATCGGTTTGATTCTGCGGTATGCTTCGCCGTGGCTCATCGCCAACATCGATTTTTTGGGGTGTGAGGGTGGCTGCAAAAGCGGCTTGCGCAGGCGGTAGTTATGGCAGGGTATGTACGGTTTGGTGGCATGGCCGCCATCATCAAGCTAGTGTTGGCGAGTCTTTGGCGCCAAAAGCGTTTTCAAAGTCATGATCGTGTACACAAGAAAGGATTGAACTTCCCCACTCTGTTGTATGGTACTACAGCAGCGGAGAATATACAGAGGGGCAGGTAAACAAGTGTGGGACACATTAGCCACTTGCTACAGTATAAGATTCTACTGTAGTATGCGCGGAAAGAATATTCGAAGAGCACATGGCCATCTGCCCCCCCTTCTGCAGTTGCGCACGGGAACTGCATGTGCGAGTCGCACCGTCTCGACTGCACTACACTGTAGAGCAAAGTAGACGGTACGGAGCAATACAGTACCGTTGGTACAGCATGTTACGTTGCGGCGCGTTTATACAGTAATGGTCCGCACTTTGGTGAGGTTGAAGATGAAGGGGGCGGGGGAGTCACGGCACGTAAAGGGGCTTTTAATGGGACCGGTCTCGTTGGTGCTGAGAAGTTGCAGTGGTTTTTTTTTTTTTTGATGACGGCACAGGGGCGTGCAAGACAAGGGTGCATGGGTTTCGAAGGCGAGCGACTGCCCGCGTTCTCACTACGGAGACGGCTGATTGCGAGCGGAAGGGGTGACGATGGGGCTGCGTGAAGAATGCAAATCGGGATCACTTGCTGTTGCAGTGGTGGACATCAAAAATTGTGCAGCCGGATGGTTTGTGCGGCACGCATCTCGTGCTGTTCGGTAGATGGTTGCTTTACAGGGCCGCGGAGAGTGCCCCGTGCCGGAGACGTAGACCAATGAGGGGAGCTCCCGCCGGGCCGGCTCAGTAGGGGGGCGGGCGGGGGGGGGGGGGGGGTGCGAAGTACTACGGCCCCTGTACCGTGAAGAAAGCGGACCACCCTCGCTACGAGTTATGCTCACAGCACCGTCGCTTGTCGCGCAGGCCGATCCATGCTCGACGTCTGGTTCACTAATACCAGCGCCCAGATCATTTGTTGAATTAAGGAAACATTTCGTGTTGGAAGACTCATTGCGCATCGCTTTGGAATTTATGCATCATGCGTTAGCTATTGGAAATACATCGTCTCTTTTCATGGAGAACAGCGTTCTGTTTGTATATTAGAAACCTGATTTATATCGGGCGTCACGATACCTAGCTACAAGAGCAGCTACTATTACAT